ACACCAAATGCTGTAAGCTTGGGTGTGCAATGGATAACGGCTCGGAATTGGAAATCGGAGATCCGAGTTCTAATTTCAGCCGGGTTCATTATAGTCACTTACGCGCAAATACCCTTAAGAAAGATATGAATCAAACATTTCTCCCTACAACTATGGATTGTTAGACACTTTCATGACGGTCGTCCTCGAGTATAGAATCCAGAGGTTGGCAGTGAATATTTCGTAGACAGTAGGAAAGCGTAGTGCAGGTTCGCAGTGGATATCGTAGCAGAGCGTAGTTCTTCCGTCTGTCATGTTCGCCGGACAAGTTGCCTCTGGTCCTTCCGCTAGGAGAAACAAAGATGGCCGCCTTTATACACGACGGATACAGTGTTGTGCGGCTTCTGATTGTTCAACCTTCTATTGGTCTACTATAAAGGGAAATAAGTCATTTTGACTCGCTCACTAGTTACATACACATATATACCAAAAAAACCGTACTTAGTGGGATTTGCATCAGTTGTTCAATATTATCTGCAAAATACAATCACAATCTAAAATGCCTTTAAATAACCTGCATAGGGCTGATAAGCCGTAAAACAAATCGAATCGAATCAACTCACTGAAGTAGACGTTAAACACATGAACATCTTTATTTATTTATTTGTTTTCTTTCTTTCTTTTTCTTTATTTGTTCATTTTTTTCGTTCTTTGCTTATTTCTTTTCTTTTCTTTCTTTTTTTGTTTATTTCTTTTTCTTTTCTTTATTTTTCTTTCTTCTTTCTTTTTTTATTTTGTTTTTCTTTTCTTTCTTTTTTCATTTTTCTTTTCTTTATTTTTCTTTTTCCTTTTTTTTTCTTTCTTTATTTTTCTTTTTCCTTTTCTTTTCTTTCTTTTTATTTTTCTTTTTCCTTTTCTTTTCTTTCTTTATTTTTCTTTTTCCTTCTTTTCTTTATTTTTCTTTCTTTATTTTCTTTACTTTCCATTCTTTTCTTTGTTTCTTTATTTTCTTTTCTTTCTTTATTTGTGTTTGTTTGTTTGTTTGTTTCTTTCTTTATTTACTTATTCTTTCTTTCTTTGTTTTTTTTTTTTCATATACTTGACTATTAGAGATGATATAAAAGAACCAATGCTTCAGTCTTCCTCCTCTTACCTTTTCAGGTTTCCACCGTATTAACTTTTGGAAATAAATATTGAGAGAAAATTGCAGATAATAATAGGAGACATTTTTTCCCCCAAAACACTCATATCCAATTATTACGTACCAGCAGTTTACTCTGCAATATATGCACTAAAGAGCAAACATAATGTTGATCATTTGTTTACATCAATACCCGATTCAAATTGCAATTACGAACTGGCTTCATTTTCTTAGTTTGATTTTAATCATTATCAATTAAATCTTGCTCACGTGTGGATTTTTACAAGAAGGAGTTGTTTAGCGGAGATAATTTGATGTTCGAAATTAACAGAAAGCATTCTCTCAACAACAATAAAAAAAAGTATCTTGGAAAAATATAACAGCATTCCCTAGCGAAAACAAAATATGGAAAATTAGCAAGTAAATAGAGCCAAATATAACGAGCTCATTTTGAAACCAAATTTTTTTTTATTAAGATAAGGGAATAAAAATGAGAATTCCTATCAGCAGAAACGAGAAGTGGAGAAAATGGAAGAGAAGATAACTTTTTTTTTGCTATAGAAGACTCATATTGCAGCGTAAAAACGTAACGTAAAATGTTTCATGAATTGCACACATAATAAAATCGACGGTTTTAGAAGCTGGATGATTCGATCTGAAAATAGTATGTTTATATACTCTTACTAGAAACTTAAAGCCATCTAATGAAGGTTAGCTTTGCGGATTTTCCTGGCGTTTTTGATGCGGTAAAGTTTAACATACGTACCCGCAAAAACGGTGTTTCAAAAAAAAAAAAAAGAAGTTTTCTTGAATCTCTTGGCAATAATTTAAAACAGTTTTGAATGTCAGAGACTGATATGTCCCAGAAAGGGATATATTTGAAAGAAGTAACTAAGTGGTTTTGGCTACTATAACCAAGTAGAATACGGTAGCAGTAATCGACTGGTACGCGTCGTAGTCACAGGTCAGAAGTGTAGATCAATGGCGTAGTCCAATGGGCGTCGTTATAGACTTAGCTCTCAGACTAAGGCTCTGTTGACTCTCCTACACGCCTGTCGGTATTTGTCGGACACCAGCCAATCATATTCCAGTGAAGGGGAACACAGGTACACGCATATTCCATTATATCAGAGACAAAATAATCTGAGACGAAAATGTATAATGCCCAAAAAATCTTTTACAAAATTTATAATTACAATTACTCAACATTATGAGTTTATTTAATTTTTTTGTTCTGTAGTTCACAGGGACTTTTATAAATAAGGAATAAAATATGAATTTATGAATAAAAATGCTTTTATAGTTATTTCTTTAATAGAGTAAATAATAAATATTTTAGTTACTTCAAATATTATTAAGAAACAATTAATGTTTGTAGTGAAGCGTTGTTCAGTGTAATTTGACTTTTGCCCATAAGTGAAGTTAAACCATTAGTCAAGTTTTTCGAGGGGGAGATAAGTATGGTTGCTTTCTACAACAAATACATTATCTTGTAAACATAAATTTATTCTCCCTTCCTGGGTATGACGTTAAAATACATCGGCAGCCAGGGTAGGACGATAAACTACATTCAACAACCAACAGAAGGTTTTGAGGAGCGTGGAACCACCTCTTAATTGCTGGTGCTTCTAGGTCCACCCTAACCCGGGGTGGTAGCACCTGTTATGGCCCCAGCTTTGGGCAAATAGTCAATCCCAAATGGGGTCCAAAAAACTATGAATGTATAAAAATAGGTTTTAGTACCAGCAGTACATTTTTGTTAAGAATATTACCAACAATAATTTTTTTAAGAAAAATTATTGCCAGAAATACATTATTACCAGCAATACTTTTTTAAAAAAAAAAATATTACAAGCAATACATTTTTGAAGAAAAAATACTAACAGCAATACATTTTGAAGAAAAAAATATTACCAGCAATACATTTTTACCAGCAATACTTTTTTGAAAAAATATTCCAACAATACATATTTGAAGAAAAAATACTACCAGCAATACATTTTTGGAGGAAAAACATTACCAACAATAAATTATTACCACCTATAATTTTTTGATAAAAATACTACCAGCAATATATTTTTGGAGGAAAAACATTACCAACAATAAATTATTACCACCTATAATTTTTTGAAAAAAATACTACCAGCAATACATTTTTGAAGAAAAAAAATACTAACAGGAATACATTTTTGAAGAAAAATATTACCAGCAATAAAAATTTTGTTGGCATTAAATAACCCATTGAGTTTGATATACCGTAAAACAAAACAAAAAAAAAAATAAAATTCTTCTTGTAAACAAACAACCTAATAGTGAAATAGTATTTAACCTATTTTTACCAATTCTAGAGGAAAAAAAAAAAGAAAAAATATATAAATCCAGTTTTATATTGTGTTTTATAAGAAAATTAAATATGACTTTTTCAAACCATAAAAATTACCGAGAGCGTCAACAGTAAAGGCGGTGTCAAGAAAAAAAAATCGTCCTTTTAACATCGTTTATTTCTTGCAAGTAGGTTTCTTAAATGTTTCTCATAGTCTCATCGTTTGTGGAGTTTAAGGCATAATTCATTAATAGGGAAAACTTTACCGAAAGTTGAGTTATCAATTCACAATGGTTTCAAGTCCGTCGAGAATATTGGAAACCTCATGAAGGAGGTTGTTGGATATCACCTCTTGCCCACGATATCTACCCCCTCGACATAGGCAGTAATATTAATCTTCAACACTTGCGAAAATTGTCATGGTAGGAAACATAAATCGTTAAGACACGAGCCGTAAGGTTATTATGAACTAGATTTATCTCACTGTGCCTATCTCCTTGCAGCTCTCACAAACTATCTGTCGAATGTCCTGTCTGTCTAGTTCTGTCCGAACTTTTTTTTTATCGAATAACCAGACCATGTTAGGTTACTAGGAATGCTTCAGACTGTACAGCCATGTGTTTCGATTGGATCACATCGTTTTTCCAGATCTTGTCGGATATCATATAGAACATACTAACGATCTCGTGTACACCATGTCTTACAGTGGGGTTCATTTGCTTGAGCTACACTACACCACTCGGGCTTCATCAACTTGCTCAGCTTATGCTTGTCGGCGTTAGCTCCTCCTTAAGTCCCAAATTGTCACTAGGGGTCTCTCTCCCCATACTATAAATATTGGGCGACATCTTGCCTCGATCTTTTTTTTCCCTCAGGCCTCGTGCCACCTCGCGTGGAGGTGAGGTAATTCTTTCTCTTGTTTTTTCATTTCAGCAAACACCGCTACTATGTGAGCTCTCACAAAAGACAGCGTTCCCTATTTCTGGGAAGACGCTATGAACATTAAAAACATACACGTACTTACGAATATTCACCAAAATACGAACATTCACCAAAATACGAACATTCACCAAAGAACAGACACAAATGTTCACACACACACACACACACACACACACACACACACACACACACACACGTTATCTGTCTATTTACTTCGTAATTTGTTGTTAATAAATATAGTTGTTGACATATATATATATCTGTCTTGCTTCTTTGTCTTCTTTATCTTCAGTTGCACTTAATTCAAGTCCGACATTCTCTTGTTTCTGGACCTTCTTCTAGCAGGAAATTTAAACGCACGTGTTTTCTTTTCCTCTTCCCCACCCCCGGTCATCTACATGCTTAACAATTTCCTGGAAGTTCTTGTTCAATTCGGTCGACTTTAAAACAACTGACTGCTTACAATGTTTCTTCGTCTTGAACATAGAAGAAAAACATCATCCTCAAATGATATCTAGATCTTTCCTATCCTAAATAAAAAAAAAACCTAGCTATTTCCAATTTGCTGTGCTGAAACTAGATATGGATGAAAGTGTTCAGGCTTACAGCTATATGACGTTGCAACACCGGATCTCATCCGATCACCGACGCTAAGCAAAGTCAAGCCTTGTCAGTACCTAGATAGGTAAACGCTTGGTAATATAAGGTGGTGTAATCTTGTATGCACTCCAGTAGATAATGGTTGGAGATGAGAAATCAGAGAGACGAGTTCAATTTCAAGTCGAGTTCATTACATTCACTTACTCTCCTGGTGAATAGCATCAGACATGCTGGTGTAAGGCAAAAATGTTATTTAAGATGATTAAAAGAGTTCATTTTCGTTTTGGGGGCGTTCAAATTAACTAGCGATTTTTTGCTGCATTACACACACACACACACACACACACACACATATATATATATATATATATATATATATATATATATAGTTTATACAAAACTAGGTAATCCGTATGAGTAGACCCAAGGAGGATGATATCCGGAGAGCTCAATGTAAATTCAGAGCAAATATGTTTGAAAAAAAAAAAAAAACAGACCACTTTAAGGTTCCATGTAATAAATTTATAAATTTATTCAAATATATATATATATATATATATATATATATATATATATATATATATATATAATATACTAAAAATCTTGTCAGCATTCAATAACCCATTGAGGTGTTGATATGCCGTAAAAAATAAACCAAACCAAACCAGACTAGAAGGATGCTGAGGCTAACATGAACCGAAAACGTCAGCATCGAGAAAATTGAAATAAAAACGACACTTAAACAAAGCATCAGGAAAGTTGAAGTTTCTAAGGAACATAATGAGGAAAGAGGGATTGGAAAATCTGATACTCACAGGACAAATTGAGGGTAAGCGGGACAGAAGAAAAGAACGAATAACCTATTTTAGTAGATCTTCAGCAAATGGATGGCGAAAGGGAGCTTAGGAGAAATAACAAAAAGGAAAAATTATTAAGAATTATAAAGAACAGGAAGTTTTGGAGGACCATGATCGTCTATGTCCTGATGGGACACGGCACATAACGAAGTATTAGGAAAGGTCTGACTTCTCACGGGAAGACTAGAGTGTTTCGAATATACCAATGAAAAGGATATGAAATGTTCGGCGAGGGGCGGCGTATTCAACATTTGATAATTTTCCGGCAAATACGCGCTTAAAGGTTTTAGGCAGTTTTGAACAACATTTCTTTTCATAGTTAGCCGTAAGAAATTGTAAATGTGGGACTACCTTACACTTAAGAAAAATAATAATAATAATATTTATGACGAATTTATTACAGGAAATATCAAGTTATACGGAAATATTTTTGACAGTTATGTATTTAGTTGCATAATAAATAAATAAAAATATGAAATTTGATGTAATATTGGATTTGTTGTCAGATTTTTTTATTTTCTCCTTTGTTCTTGGCAGTATTTTAGCATACTTTGTCTTCAATGGTAAGTTGAACAAACTGGAGCTTATTTCGTTTACGCTTTCTTATCTTTTCCATTGTTATTTTCAGATCGTTTTCTTTCAGCCATTTTGATGCGCAATAGCGAAATTATGAAATTTAGAATGTTCTTATTCCATTTCAAAAATAAAGTCTGTAAAATGAAATATTTTAAATTGATATACAACCAAAAATAAAACGCTTTTGATAAAAAAAAAAACCCTAATGATTTCAATAATGTAATGATATTCCGCAGACAAATCTACGGTTTATGTTACCTCATCTCATTGCATGGTTACAAAGTATAAACCTAAGTTGAACTTGAAATATTGTGTAATCGGCAATAATTCTTTGTAAAATACTTGGATATGATATAATGAATAATTTGCAGTGAAAGTGGCAATTTTAGATATTTTGTTGAATATACCCCTCCTCCGCCAAGTGCGTCATATATCGTCAGCCTTCACGTTAGAAATACAATTCGAAAGCTGAAACTATCAACAAAGAAATGGAAACTCCTTTAAAGTGTCGTTAAGTGTAATTTAACTTCTACCGGCCAAGTCATTGAAAGTCTTATTACAGATAATGGGACTTGTATTCCCTTTATAACCTGGGGTGATCACCTTAAGGCCAGGTGTGCTTTTTTACCGTTAAGCTCGAAGTCATTTCACTAAAAATGATCAAGTATCCTTTATTAAATGCACATCTCTCATTTTGACAATTGGAAATCTATATCTAGTCACTTCATTTCCAAAATATAAGGTAAATAATTCTTATGCAATTAAGATACTTTTTTTTTTATCTCAACTCATTTCATAAACGTTATATTGAGTGAGTACACATGTTTTAGTAGATATATTTTCTTTCTGTCTAGTTACCAAGAAATCGAATATTTTATTAAAAGAAACATGTATTCGATGGGAATCGAACCTGTACTAAAAAAAAAACACGTTCAGACTCGGCCTACATTTCTTTTTACAATTAGGCTATGTATATAATAATGATCTATGTACAAGTCTACAGTTTCAAATTCTAATTTTAAAGGGAAAGCACACAGTGTGGATTGGCGTTACACAGTTTTAGTATTATTCTGGAATAGAGAACGCCTGAAATTCATACCAGGCATCCCGGAGGTCATGTCCCACATACCTGCATCCGGCATTATAAGTATGGGAACGAGTTTGACAGATTAATACATAAACAGTAGCTCCAGATATCTCAGGTAGTCTCTCACACATTGAAGATAGATAATGTAAGGTCCACGTATTGGGTTTGAAGCGTTCGGGTTCGTACACTCACTGGAGACTGACACAGAGTAACTGACGAAATAATGGAATGAATATAATGTGAAGTAATGAAGTTTCAAGTCTCATCTTTTAATCGGTACCCACAACTCATTACACAATCAACGTAATCTAATTTGGCCTCTTGTCAGACAAAGCTAAGCATAATAAGGAATCAATTTATCCCCCAAGTTCTTGGATACAAATGTTATTCAATATTGATTGATTTTTATTTACGGTTTTGTAGGTTAAGGATAGGATTAAAACCGAAACATATTTTGGACTGTATGAACAAATCATTTTTTTGTGATTGGATACTGAATGGGTTATTTTGGAGAATATCAATGATTTTTCCAGATACAAGTCGAAGAATCTGAAGGGAGGAGATGAATTCCTACCAATTCCAAAGATATTTGAGTGTAATGGAATGTGAAGAACGCGACTAGAATTCAAACTCGACTCTTAGATTTCATATTTCCAGCCACTATCCGATAAACCACCTGCATATCAACATTTATTTCATAAAAAATACTTAAATTCCCTATGTTTTGTTGCGCTAAGGTGTCCTGTTTTATGCTTGATATAGTTGCCCAATTCCTAAAACTACTTTGAACTCGGATTTTAGGAAAGAAAGGATTACTTGGAAGAATATATTCCGCCGAACATTCTATTTCATTTTCCCCTTCATATCGTAAGCCACCATCTTTAACCAAACTGAAGTAATATAAACTACCACAGAACGTCTGTTAGCACAATTATATCTTCACACAAAAGATTAATATAATTTTCTATACTAAAGTTCAAGTCCAGCAAAAAGCCTTAGAATGACCCAAGATAGAAGATTACTGAATGAAGTACATGATATGAGTAAAAAAGGAGGTGCAAGGGAAATAAGATTATGACGATAAGGAGGATAGACAATGATTGGCTTTGATTTGAAGAGGTTAATATTGTAATGTTCAAGGAAGCATCCACGCAGGAGTCTGTTCCAAAAGTAGCAGTTGGAGGGGAAATAAGGTGCCTGAGTAGAAATTTCTCCTTACAATTGTAATATGTCGGAAATTATGGTTGTTCGACGCCGTGGAAGTAGTATGGAGTGTAAATTAGATATATTCCTATTTTCGCCCAAAATTTGGCTAAGGTAAGTAAATATTTATAAATTCTACTGAGAAGAAGGTAATATGTGTCAAACATTAGCTACTTAATAAATACCTATTTAAAAAATATTCATTTACTTTGCAAGATTTGAACCCAGATCATTTGAATTACAATCGTTTCGGCGCATTTTTCAGATACCATTGTTCTGTAGTTGGAAGAGCCAATCGAACAGGCAGAAATTTTGATTTATTGCGTATAGAATACAACAATTGTGGCACAATGCCTAAAAAGTGAGAAATAGGTTGAGGCTGGTCGGCACTAACTGTCTTATACTTAGCTAATCTGATTCACGACCCATTTATTTGTTACAATTTGCACATCCACGAGAAAAAACCCGTCCTTTATCATTCAATCCTACATCTATCATAATGCCGCAGACACACAGGGAACCTACGAAATACCCCATGAGATATAAATTCTTGAGTTTATAAATATATATAAAAATTTATTAATGGTAAGCCATGAGGTAGAGGGATGAACCCAGAAACAACCTAAAATATAACAAAACTGACATACTAAAGATAAGTCTATATTTATTACATTATTTACATTATTCCGACTATTGTCCTCATCTTTGTCGCCATATTTATTACAACGTTTCGGCCGTTGTACGCTCCAGCATTCATCAGGTGTTTGGAATGTCAAATTGAACCCTTTATTTCGCTCACTGGGGTAGACTGTTCTAATTGCACGTGCCATCTTTAATGGATGTCAGTTGTCAGTTATATCCTGTTAATTCCCCTCTCCAAGTTCTCCACTGCCTTAACAGTGGATAAAGGCATTGGTTAGATCCAGTGACAGGAAACCAAAGAGTGTGAGGTCAATACCCGGTTAAGGCAGTGGAGGGTTCAGTTGGACATTCCAACCATCTGAAGAAGGCTGGAGCGTACAACAGCTGAAAGGTTGTAATAAATATAGCGACAAAGTTAAGGACAATAGTCTGAATAATGTAAATAATGTACTAAAGCCTCATCTCAGAAATATAGACAGATACTGTATTTATTATTATGAATGACAATTATTGTAGCACATGGCCGAATGGAAAGTGGGGAGAGGCTGGTCTTTGCTATCTATCCTAGTGCTAGATAATCATAATCACGGCCCATTCATTCAATACAATATACTCAATCACTAGAAGAACTTAATCCTACATATACAGGGTGTTTCAAAAAATTTGACATCCTTTGAGATGTAAATATCACAGAAAGTACATGATTAAGGCAAATGAAATTAAAAAGTATTAATGTTGAAGATCATAAGAT